GAGGGCCCACCTTCTATCCCATATCCGACGCGTATCCGACGTGTATCCGACGGACCCTCGAGACCCTCAAAACCACTGACTTTTGAGGGCCCACCTGCTATCCGACGCCTATCCGACGCCTATCCGACGCCTATCCGACGCCTATCCGACACCCGTCCGACACCCGTCCGACACCCGTCCGACGCCCATGCCACATCCATGCGACACCCTTCCTGCGCCCAACATAACCGACCCCGATTTAACACGCACACATCCGACCTTTTCCACTCTTGTAGATATATCATATATAATCCATGGTGCAGTTTGAGTAAGTGTGCTTGCCACATGTAGGATTACCTCTTCCCATACTATCAGACCCCAGAGTATATACCCAGTAAGATTATGTGGCACACAGATTGCACTGGATGTTTTTGCCTGGAGCAAGGCAACTTCTGCACTGCCACGCTGACCGAAACGAAAGCCAACTACGCTGGCAATCAAAAGCCTCGTGGACACTTCATTCTCTGTGCTCTTGGGATTCAGGGCGATATAGCATCAGCTAGATTCTCCAAATGTGTGAATGTTTTCCCACGCGCACAGTGTATGTAAATGCTCCTGTCTTTGGCTATGTTCAGCGTAACACCACCTAAGACCCGAAGATTTTCAATTCTTGCAGAGGAGGGTTCAGTCAGGTAATTGTTTATAAGGGGGTATACCCAAGTCTTGCATTGACCGGACTTCTGGACTCCAAGCGATCACCACCATAGAAATGAACCCACCCCCGCTGGAACTAGCTGCTTTCATGCTTCCTGGATCAAAATTCTTTTGCATTATGAAGGACTGGTCCATGCATGTAATGGGTTACACATACCTAGACCCATGGGTAGTGCCCCCACTCTGTATATAGCTGGAAAACATTTCTGATATCATTCTATGTAATTCTTAATATGACCCATAATGAAAACTGTTTCAGAGCGGGGGCTCTACCCTCTACTCCAACCTATCATACCCAGTACTATAGGACCCATAGAACCATAATTAAAGGGCACACAGGAGAGTTTTGGTAGATACCATGAATGTGCATGGGGAAGCAAGAGCAGCCAGCTCAAGATTGGGAGAGGCCTTTAGCCCCTTCTTGAGTTGCGTCTCTCTGCAACTTGGCGATAAGAATCCAGGAGCGCCTCCACATCATTCAACCTGAAGCGCACACAAAGAGAAACGATGTCAAGTGTGTTCATGGCGACATGTTATGCGCAAGAGAAATGTATGAACCAAGCATCTCCGCATCAGGCCAGCTGTCGGGAGTATAGTCGAGTAGGGCAGCTTCAGGCTTTGGAACTCTGCAGCCGTACAAGAGGAACTTGTTCCTGACCTGCGTGATGCAAGCAAGGCCCAACCTACGACCCATGTTTTTTTCCAGAGCATTATATACTTCTTCCTGATGTCTTTCCAATTT